AACCCTGTAAAAAGACATGACAAAAGACATGACAAGAAGGCAGAATCTTGTCCTTGTCTAGCTCAATTTCTTCATAATATTGTCGCTTTAAACAATCATCTAATTTTCAGGGTAACCATCCCCCCCTGGCAAAGCTTCACAGGGCAGAGAAGGTACCTTTTTTGCCTTGCAGGAGTATGACATTTTAAGAAACGAACACAAAATTTTCTCCCCCTTTGCCTTTAATTAAGACTCGGAACACAAAAAGAGAAAGAGGCAATCAAAAGGCGACATTTTTTGGTAGAAACGTAGCCACCATTAGTAGTGCCGCTATAACCACAACAACGTTGTGTTTGATTGCAATAGGCAATGACCCTAATTATGAGTTGCATTCAATCTTCGACTGGGGTCGAAAGTGCTGATCAAACGAATTTTCATTTGGTATTATGACGCGCATTCGATGAAGAATAGCGCTATTGTGAATTTCGCTGGTTTAGGTTGTTCACAATAGCATATTTTTCACCGCTGACAAGCTTTATTTACAAATCGAGCAAACTAAATAGCGTGCTTATTCATATTTATGTAAATTTGTGCAAATTAAAATGAAGTAAAAAGAAAGCGAGTTTATAACAAGTAATTTTTAAGCAAAAAACAAAGCCGTCTTCAATTCTCATATAAAAATTTAAGATTATCGCTAATTTCTTCATGATCCAGTAGTATGGACCTGTGAGGTAACACCTTTCCTTTAAAAAAAAAGAATTATAGAAATCGGTTAACGTGGTTCAAAGTTATGCGGTAACATACATTAAAATTAAAAATATGAGTACAACTGAGTTCTGGTTCGACGATTCGTCAGAGGATGAGAGCTTAGTAAGCTGGCCAGCAGTATAAAACGTTTAAGTGTAGTCTTTCGAATATATTTTGTTAAAAACTTCCGACTGTCTAAAGAGACGTTTGTAGAACTGCTGTCCGCTACATAAAACCTGCTGCAGCACTGCTTTCGAGCCAAATCTATTTAAAATAGCTTAAAACTATCAACAGCTCTACGATTTTGTTCTCAGAGATCGTGTCAACTGAGTATTCGGATTTTCTTTCATAAATGAAACCAGCCTTTCGAGCTCGTGTTTAGTATTCACGTTAGAACTGCATGAAATTAATAAAAATTGTTTAAAATTACTGTCCAGCCGCCAAAAAGTAAGAAAAGAAATGCAAAATCATACATTTTTGACAGTTTCTTAACACTTCGCTACAGCATTGAAAGCAAAATTATGTTCGACAGAAATTTCGATACTCAACGAAAATGTTGACACTACTGCATAGCTCATAATACGAATTTCACATTCGATCTTCGACAACCAGCGAAGATCGAAAATCTAGTGCAACTCGTAATAAGGGCCAATATTCCATTAAAAATATATATTCTTAGAAAATTTCTGATCCCTCATGTAGTAATATTCTTTGATAAGATTGTGTTGAAAACATAAATTAAATTGTTTACATATCATATTTTCATTTTTGTTTTTCTTATTTTATGGCCATATAACAATTATATTCAACAATTCAAGCTCAATAAATTTTTTTGAATATATATTATACTAGGCGGCAACGGATGCGCGAGGCTGAATGTATGCATATGTATGTATATTTACGTATTTGGAGAAAGAAATCATATGCCATCATGTACTTCGTTTATTATATACATAAAAAATCTTGTTTAAATCCGCTCAGTAGTGTGGTTAAAATATCTCGCCTTTCCTTTATACTATGTATAGAAGATAGTAATTTTAAATAGGTTGCAACCCTACTCAAAAAACTTAAATTTTTTGTACATGCGATGGCCATGAACTTTCATTTGGTATCTTATTTTTTTATCCAACGAACGTTGTAGTTTTTAAACAGGTGACAACCCTACTCAGAAAAATAATACATTATTACACATCCAGAGGCTAAGTCGTTGCGTTTGACAGTAACGGTACACGGCCTATGCTTATTATGATTGAATATGGTAATTTTATTAACAGATGGCAACCCTATTCAAAAAAATATTAGTGCTTTTCTAGAGGCCAATCCCTTTCATTTGGCATCTCATCTTTTGTAATCCAACGAACGGTGCGGATCTTATAGTTGTTTATACAGGTGGCAACCAGTGTTGCCGCGCCGTCTCAAGAAAATGTATCACTGACCAAGCCAAAAATGTATCCAAATGTATCCAATTTTCTTTTTTTACATATACATCTCATAATTTGTAAGAAAACCAAACATTTTCATGAAAAAGACATAATTTAAATAATCCATCCTAAGGACTTGGAATACATGTACATAAAATCAAACATTTGTAATTTCAATTTATAAAGTACATTTTTTGTGCATAAGTATTTTGCAAAGCAAGTATAATAAATAGTAAGTACACTCTAAAAAGAGCATGTAAAACTACTACTGAAAAGTATCTATTTTTCAACAAGAATCTGTATACGTATGAGATGTTCAGTATTTGATTTTGAACTTGACATCTTTAAAATATACACATATATAGAATGTTTAAAATTGCAAAAATTTTCAAACTACAAATACATTTCCTACTAATAATAAACATTACTTTATTTTAAACATTTTATGTGTAATTTTGCTCTTTGCGAAAAATTTGGTATGTAAAAGTAAACAGGCAATGATTAATTTTATTACACGGCGTGCAAATTTGCACACATTAAAAGAGGAAACTGGTTACCTCTCTTAATATGCGCAAATAAACAAAGTTTTTTTAGAGTTTATTTAAAGTCTTTTCAGTAAAATTCATACAAGTTTCCTTAAATAAATCAAATTTAGTTTTTTAAACTGCATTGAAATCTTTCTTTTTAAATTAACAAATGAAAATATGTGATATGAAAGAGATTACTACAGAAAGAGTATAATTTACTTTATATATATCGTCGTTTAAAGTACAAAACCGTGTATCGTCATTCTGCAAAACCGCGTAACTGACATTTGCTACCAAAAATTGGATTTGCTCACACAAGCTCTTGGCTCAATCCTGATCCAGTCGTCCTGAAATATACTAGCCAGGAAAGCGATTGCTCTATAAAAAAGGGAACCATTTTAAAACATAAGTGTTTTTGCTCTTTAGAAAATAATTTATGCAACATCACATACGCGGTTTTGCATTATCTTGATACGCGGTTTTGCATTTTGTTGATACGCGGTTTTGTACTTTAAACGACGATATGTACCTATATTAAGATCTTGCTTAAAGCATCCTTTTAATCTAATTAACACAATTGCGCTTATACCTATTTTGGTGAGATCTCTTCATATGTTCATTGCTTCGTTCACAAAAAATAAAATGCTTTAATTTCACGCTTAAGTAGCGATTCTTAATACGTTTAGAAAACGTAATGCTTTCTACCATCTTTACTGAAAATCGATTTTTGAACGAAAAAAACTTTATATAATAATATAATAGATTGGCGCTTACACATATGTTCGTGTTTGGCCGAGCTTCTCCTCCGGTTTGTGGCGTGCGCCTTGATGTTGTCACACAAAGCGGAGGGACCTACAGTTTTACGCCGACTCCGAACGGCGATTGTGTTTTTATGAGAAGCTGTTTTTCATGGCAGAAATACACTCGGAGGTTTGCCATTGCCTGCCGAGGGACGACCGCTGTTAAGAAAAAACCTTTTTTCTATATTTTTTGCGATGTTGCTTTGACCAGGGTTTGAACCCAGGTGCTGCGGAGTGGAAGCGCGCTTACCACTACACCACAGCGGCCGACTTTATAGGAAATATAAAATTTTGGCCTATTTAAAAAAGTATCCATACTGACCGGAAAAAATAAGTATCCCGCAAAGATTCGTCTAAAAATGTATCCAATTGGATCTATTTAGATCCAAACGGCATCCCTGGTGGCAATCTTTTAAAATTCTAAGAAAAAAAGATCCCTTTCCTATCGATACAGAGTATATTAGAGAAAATCTCGTCAAAATCCGCTTAGTAGTATTCGAGATTCCGCGTACAAAGAATCTCGACTTTAAAACACAAGAATTTGAAGCACACATTTTTATACCGGAGCGCGCTTGTGCACAAGGGTATTATAACTTTGTTCACATTACGGTTGTTTCTAACAGGCAAAAGAAATCGAGAAATAACCACGCCTACCTCCCATATAACGGTAATTTTCAGAAATACGAAAACTGCGATAATTGCGAAATTTATATTTACAATGATTTTTAGACGAAAAAGAATATTATAAATTTTTTGAAAATTGGGCACTAATTTTTCCCAAACTTGGCCTTAGTACAAAACACCAAACGGTTGATAATTTTTAATACTGATAATAACCGCGCCCACAGTAAACATGAAGCTAATTTATTGAAAATTGATGTTCACAATAATTCTTTAGCAAGAAATACCTTTATGATAAAATTTTGGAAAACGGGCGTGGCACTGCCCATTTATGACCACATATGTGTATCTCGGTAACCGTTCGATCAATTTGTACCAAACTCGGCATGATTATTGTGCTTGCCACGTAAAATCAAAACGCTGCAAATTATTGAAATCGGACTAAAATTACGCCCACTTTTTATATAACGGTAAATTTCAGAAATGCTTTAAACTGATATTTCGAAATTTAAGAATGCTAATTTACACAAAATTGATACTAACAATAATCCCTTAATAAGAAGTAACATTATTATGGACTTTTGGAAAATATTCGTGTCACCGCCCACATATAACTATATAAGTTTATGGAAGATGTTTGAAATAGGAGTAGAATCACCCCTGCTTACCATGTAGCGGTATTTTTCGGAAAGGTGAAAAAAAACTATATTTAATACTAGCCCGGGTATCGAATGTTCGGCTCCGCCCGAACTTAGACTTTTTTACTTGTTAGTTATGCGAATAAATAATTCATAAGAAAAATAGCACGACTTCTGATAAATGGTTAAGACTATTTAAGATACATTAACTTAGTTTTTAGTTTTGTGTTCTTGTTGCTTGCTTTTGACTAAATTTTATAATTTTTAGGTAAAGGAAGCAACCCAACGGTGTAGAAGTTTGGGTCTACAAACAGAGTTTCGACATTCGCAAGTACTTGACGAATTTGGCATATTCCACACCATCGTGATGCTACGTGATAGGACCCTTCGTCGTAAAGCCGAATGGCCTATTGCCAGACTAGGAGTCTGGCTTGATATGGTGCGTAATAGCGAAGACTTGACAGCTGAAAATGTGTTTAATTGTGTGGATATGAATTGGGAGCCATTAGAAAATGATGAAAACACAACATTAAATGATTCGCTCAACTCGAGTCGAATTTCATTAAATTTAAGCATTGTTAAAGATGCTTTATTGAAAAAGCCGCTAAAGAAATTGCAGTTATTTGATACTTCTTCACATTCTCCTTCACATATCGGTCCGCCGTCTTTAGTAAAACGACAAAGTTTTGTTCAGTCGCCGCTAACAGGAAGATTTATAACGAAAAAAGTCTTAAACTATGATGATTGTGTTGAATCGTCACCAGCTCGTAAACCAAATACATCCGATAATATAATTTCACCTGCTGCTGTAAATTCTAGTAATTTAAATGCTGATTTTACCGGTTTAGCATTAACGCATCTGCACAGCATGGAGTGCTCAGCTTCACGCCTAAGATTGCTCTGTAATCGGTATAGAAATGAAGGGGAAAATGTACCCAACAAAAACTTTGAAGAGCAGCAAACATTTTTGCAGGAGTCACTATATGAACTGGAAAAAATACTGCATGGAATGCGCTGCTCTCTTAGTCGGAGTGAGCCAAGTGAAGGCAACGAGATGACGACATCCGAAATGCAAAAAGTAGTTCGATTTCTTATAGATTAGTATAGTCAATTATTTTTTATATTATTGTTGTTTTTACTACTAAAAACTTTATATTATTTCAGTTGCACGCATAAAATAAAATATAAATGTAATTGTATTCGAACTAGCTATGTATGTGTGTATGTATGTACATACATATGTATGTATTTATTTGTTGTTTGTTGTAGGTAATAGTTCTTGAATGTGACTAACGTCCTTGAAACCATCTGAATCGTTAAACTACCTAGTAAATAGGTTTACTATCATTCATTGTCCTTTTTCTTTTAAGTTTTAACTGGTTACTCAACACGAGCTGACACTATATATTATAAAAGACGATGTCTTATTTAAAACCTCCAGGTAGTCAAATTTTTTTGTAACTGAATGTTACAGGACGGTTCCGTGTGCAGAAGTGGAAAGCTTTTGACTGCCATTCACCTGGAAGTGGCCATAAGTGGTTCTTGTACGTACGGTTTAAATCGTAGCTCACAACGTCCGGATATTTATATCCATGTATTCTTTGGGTACCTCATCTTTGTCGGTCTCCTTGCCGTGGGGATGGGGCTTAAGTGGTAATATGTTGGCCGCTTCAGCAACCGACATATCACCACGAACTAAGAGGGAAGCTTGCATAGTGACCTGATGCCGCTGTATCAACCTCGCCCGCAGGGTAAGTGTGATACCAGACACTCTGGTTTCCATGCAAGATCACCGCACCGAAATCCCTATCCCTAATCCTACCCCATCCCACCTTCCCTCCTCTCCTCCAACAAAAATCCTGACTGGGCAGTCACTAAAACCCCCCCTAATCCGAGATAGCCCGTGTCTATCGGACAGGGTTGCAGTCGGGGGTATTCAGACTGTATTATAGCGGAGCACCTCTCTGATACCTGCCCGCCTCAGGGAGTAACGGTGGGCTTACCGTGTTATTGGGGGCTATGACACGACGGACAGTTCTGACTCCTACACTCGTGGGAATTCTTATGGATAAAAGCAACCAAAAACAAACAAAACAAAACCAAAAAACAAAACACCAGCGGGCACTTATACCGCACCACTACTGGCGAACCAGGTAGAGTCTAATATCGAACATACTGGTAGCCAGGGCCCTACACGTACAACCCCGACAGTGGGCGGACAAAAGGGCGGCAATGGTACCAAAGACCCTATATTTGGACCGGCGCAACGGACAGAAGCAGGCACTATGCAACGGAAGGAAAGTCTGGGGCAGGTGGGATCTGAGGATGCTTCGGCAGCCAAAGATGACATACCACAAGCCTCGACGAGTACTGGACTCGGGGACGTGAGAAAGGCCACAGTTAAGTGGTACCTGCGCTACGTCAGTAAAGGCTTAACGCCTGAGGAGGCCAAAAAGAAAGTCCGGGACCGGGAGAAAACCAGTGACAGTGCACGGGAGGCTGGGGAAATTAGTGTTTCGAAAGGTAATCCGGAGAACAAGAAAGTCATGGACGGGGAGAAGCCCAGTGACAGCAAACGGGGTGCTGCGGAGATTAGTCCTCCGGAAGGGAAGCCAGAGAAGAAGAGGAGCCGTCTCGAAGCAGTGGCTCCAAATCCCAAGGCAGGGGCCAGGAAGCCTGGTGTTAGCTATGCTAGCGCCACTAAGCGTATTAGACTGGCTGTTCTGCCGAAGGCTTTCCCTAAACGTACACTCACTCGTGGGGATCAGGGAAAGATTGAGGACGCCATTGTGGAGGAGATGGGTAAGGGTTGGAGGTCAATACTCCAATTCGACGGCATCCACTTTCGGCCAGGCGTTATACTGGTCGACTGGTTGGATGCAGAATCAGCCGAATGGCTGCGCTTAATTGTTCCAAAACTGCCTGGTTGGGAGGGTGCGGAATTGACTACGTGCGATGGGGACAACATACCCAAGGTGCACGTAATCACTACGTACCTACCAAAAGCTGCAGGAGTGGACACGCAGAAACTACTGAACCTAATTATAGCCCAAAATGAGGGTATGCATACCGACCTATGGAAGGTATACAGAAGCAATGACGAGAAGACGGGTAAACTGCTGACGATCGGGATAGACGACCGGTCGTTGGAGGCTATCAAGAAGAAAAACTGTATCCTACGATACAGGTTTGGTAGTGTTCCAGTGCATCTGCACAAGGGCAGGGAACCGAAGGCGAAGGTAGCCAAGCCAAATACTCCACCGGGTGTTCCTGAAATACCGGAGGAGGTGGCTGAGATGGTAGCTGTGGAAGCAGCCAGAAGCGCGGTAGTAGAGAAAGTTGGTATTCTACCTCATGAGACGGAGGGTATAGACGATTTCGACCTCGGCCTACTAAATATCTTTGCAGATCATGACTCGGAGAGGGCCACCTTCTCAGAGCTTGACGAAACTCTGACAACGGATGAAGAAGCGGAACGCCATTAGCTGCGACGATGACCAGCACTAAGGTTGCACAAGTGAACCTTCACCATGCGAGGGCCGCGTCTGCGGTCATCGCTAGGGCAACCCTCAGGTCTACACTGGGAATAGTGCTGGTACAAGAACCCTGGGTCGTCAGGGGCCAAAAAAGAGGCTTGGCGGTAGAGAACAGGCAGGTAATTTGGGATACTAGGTGCACAAATCCTAGGGCGTGCTTGTTAATAACTAATAGCTTGAAACATGTATGTCTTTCAGATTTCCTGTCGAGGGATCTAGTGGCGGTCCAAGTCCCGGTCAACATCAACGGGACCATCCAGGACATCGTAGTTGCATCGGGCTACTTCCCAGGAGATAACAATCACGCCCCACCGGAGCTTGTCACTAAACTGGTGAAGTACTGCGAAGACAAGAAGCTACCCCTGATACTCGGATGTGATGCAAATGCGCATAGCGAGGCATGGGGGAGCAGTGACACCAACCAAAGGGGTGAGTACCTTCTTGAATTTATCCTTAGAAATAAATTAGAAATCTTTAATGTTGGGAATATACCAACTTTTGTGACCCGTGCGAGGGTAGAGGTCCTTGATATAACCATAGGAAATACTCAAACGAAAGTGCTGGCGAAAGAGTGGAGAGTATCCAATGAACCCTCCATGTCAGATCATAGAATAATTAGTACATAGAGTTTTAAGGAATCCCAGGAAGACAGACTGGGGGAAGTTCAAAGACAACCTGAGGCTGAACGTAGCCCAACCTGGGCTGGGTCAAAAGATCAGGAACGAAACAGAACTAGAATTCGCGACAGAGCGCTTTAATGAACTACTCATTGACGCATATGAAGACAGTTGTCCTATAAGTAAGGTATGTTCCTCCAGGGATGTATCCTAGTGGAACAACAGCCTAAGTAAACTCAGAACCAAAGTTCGGAAATTGTTCAATCGAGCAAAACGAACCGGGGAGTGGTCAGAATACAGAAACACCTTAACTCTGTACAACAAAGAAATAAGGGAATCTAAGCGTTTAAGCTTTAGGAACTTCTGTCAAAGCATAGAAGATACCGCGGAGGCTACAAGACTCTATAAGGTAATGGCAAAAACGAATTGTATTTCGTCCGCAAGTCTAAGGAAGAGTGATGGGAGTTTCACTGGGAGCGAGGAAGAAAAGATCCAACTTCTCATACATAGATACTCACTTCCCAGGATCTACATCATATTCCGAGACAGATCGGACTGAACAAAGTAGTAAAATAAGCAGTGAAAACTGGTTAGTGGCTAAGGAAATATGCTCTGAGCCCCGACTAAGGTGGGCGGTGAACACCTTTAAACCGCTAAAGTCACCGGGAGCGGATGGAATATTCCCTGGCATGCTACAGCAGGGCTTAGAATGCATTATTGGCCCGCTATTAACAATAGTTAGAAGCAGCATAGCATTGGGTTATATACCAGATGCGTGGAGAAGAGCGAAGGTAGTTTTCATCCCGAAGGTTGGAAAGAAGGACCCACTTCATCCAAAATCCTTCAGGCCGATCTGCCTCACCTCATTTGTACTAACAGCTTTAGAAAAGGTAGTAGATGACTACGGTCTTAGGGCCGTTTTCTAATGTAAGCAGTAAAGTTGCCTTTACTAACAGGGCAGATAAACTGTTCCTCAATTTAAAGTGTTTTCGTTTTCTTATCTTACCGGTAAAAATAAATTTTGTATTCCGTAGAGTGAAACTTCACTATATTTCCGAGAATGAAACTTCACTACATTCGTCATAAAATTTCAAAGGTTGGCAATGCAACATAAGCAAATATAGAGCAAGAGCAACTGTTAGCAAAAACCAAAACCTTGGTTCAAATATCTAATATAGCTGGCTCGTGAACCAAAACCAAACCAAAATTTAAAGTTGGGTACAAATTTTAAAGGCTGCGTCGGGTAAGCAACAGTTTATCGATTCGAGAAATTAATGCGCTGATGAGAAAACGAAAACTCTTATATCGAGACGATAAAGTGGCCGGTAAACTAAAGGTCAGATGAGAAAACGGCGCTTAGTGAACTATCTGCTGAATTCGCGCCAGCATGCATATATGGCGGGTCGTTCTTCTGAAACCGCCTATATGCGCTGATAAGTGGACTTCAAGATAGCTTAGATAATAAGGAGACGGCTATATGCGCCTTTCTGGACATCGAGGGAGCGTTTGACAACACCTCACATGCTGCAATAAACAGTGCTTTGATCAGCAGAGGGGTAAACAATACCCTCGTAGCCTGGATTAATTGCATGCTCCGCACCAGAAGGGTAGAAGTACAAACCTGTACGAATAATACGGTTGTTGCCGGAACAACAAGGGGCTGTCCACAGGGTGGAGTGCTATCTCCACTGCTGTGGAACATAGTCGTCGAAGGACTGCTCCAAGAGCTGACAGATACTGGGTTAACTTGCCAGGGGTACGCCGATGACATTGTAATTATATGCAGGGGGAAATTCGAAAACACCCTGTGTAATAGAATCCAGCTAGGGCTGAATGTAACCAAAAAATGGTGTGCTAAAGTTGGGCTGAATGTTAACCCATCAAAAACCACTATAGTACCATTCTCAAGGAAATATAAACTGGAGAGCCTAAAAACGATAAGGCTAGATGGAACCAACATTATGTACAAAAAGAGGTTAAATTCCTAGGAGTGATACTAGACCAAAAACTACTCTGGAAAGCACACGTGGAAGAAACCACGAAGAAAGCTGTAAGATCATTTATGACGTGTAGGTCCATGGCAAGTAAGAGTTGGGGATGCACACCAAAGATACTGAGATGGATCTACCCGACTATAATACGACCCATGATAGCTTATGGAGCCATCATCTGGGCCGATAGAACTTCACAACTTGGAACAATCAAAGTGCTCTCCAAGTTACAAAGGCTGGCATGCGTATGCATAACCGGAGCCATGAGAACCTGTCCAACCGCATCCTTGGAGATTCTTCTAGATCTTACCCCTCTTCATATACACATACAGACTCAGGCGAAGAGAGTTTTACTACGGATGACTGGTTCCAATATCGGGGCAGAAGGGTATCTTAGCCATGGGAAGTTAGATATTCTTACGAAGAAGTTCCCTGAAATTGCCATACCGAGGGATACCATGCATCCGAGGTACAGCTTTACAAAGAGGTTTAAAACTGATCTGAGTGATAAGAAGAGCTGGGCTGGCATATCCGAGACGTATCGGATAAACCAAACCATGATTACCTGGTACACTGATGGCTCATTGACCGACGAGAGTACCGGGGTAGGGGTAGTTGGACCGAGGTTAAGATACTCGGAACCCATGGGAAAACATATGTCTATTTTCCAGGCTGAAACATACGCCATAGAAAGATGCGTGGACTTTAATATTAAGCGGAACTACCGGAATAGCAGCCAAGCGGCTATCAAGGCCCTCAGATCTCACCAGGTAACATCTAAACTGGTGATGGAGTGCCTCGAAAAGCTGAATACACTTGGTCTGACCAATCAGGTTTGGGTTCTCTGGATTCCGGGCCATATTGGTATTAAAGGAAACGAGATTGCCGATAAACTAGCGAAGAAGGGTGCATCGACCCCTTTCACCGGCCCAGAGCCTTTCTGTGGCCTGGGAAAAGGGGCACTCTCCGAACTTGTTCGGTTAGAGGAAGAAGCTCATAGAAAACGCTACTGGGATAATCTACCAGGTCTAGAGCAGTCCAAAGCACTTTTAGGAACATATAACCTAAAACGCTTCAATGAATGTATGAGCTTATCAAAGAATAACTTAAGAATTGTTACAGGAATCCTGACAGGACACTACAGGCTGAACTATCACCTGACTAAACTGGGAATTTACTCGCATGAGCGATTCAGATTTTGCAGGACGGAAAACGAGACTGCACAGCACATCTTAGAAGAATGTCCTGCACTGATGCACAAACGCAAAAGGCACCTGGGTGAACATATGTTAACCAAAGGCGAAGTGAAATCCGTAGACTTAGGTTGCAAGTTTCTCTCGGTTACTGGATTAAGACACTCTATAATCCGCGAAGGGGACACAATAGATCTTAAGGTCGCAGTGCTTTATCCCCAATAATAATAATAATAATAATCCTTTGGGTAGCAACCAAACAACCGTTTGGGAGCAAGCTTAAGTGAGAAGGCGTAAAACTTCGCGTGCGATGGGTTTGGGTCCCGCCACGTTAAAACCCCGTCCAACACAAAAGTCAACATCAGATGATACCCATTTTTCTGATGACGGCCACGGCAAGCGTATTAAGGACTACGTTTTGAGGGTATGCACCTGGAATATCCGGACCCTTTATAGGGAAGGTGCCTCTTCCCGGCTGGTTGATGTCGTCGGGAAGACTAAAGGCTGATATCACCGCCTTCCAAGAAATGCGATGGACGGGTCAAGGCAAGGTAAGCGTGGAGCCTTTGACGTCTACTATAGCTGCCACGTAAAGGAGCGAAAATTCGGTGTTGGATTCGTCACCGAGTACTGGCGTTCACCCCGGCGAAGCAACGTTTAGCCACAATCCGCATCAAAGCGAGATTCTTCAACATCTCGCAAGGATCTCTTCTGTGAGCGCTTGGAGCGTACATATTAGCGCTGTCCCAGACACGATATCAAAATCGTACTCAGCGATTTTAATGCCAAGGTGGGCAAGGCATTGTCGGAAAATTCAGCCTCTACGACGAAACGTCCCATAACGGACTGAGGCTGATCGACTTCGCCGGGGCACGAAACATGGTAATATGTAGTACTAGGTTGCAGCATAACAAGATCCACCAAGCTTCATAGCTCTCTCCGGATCGAAAAACGAGAAACCTAATCGACCATGTTGTGATAGACTGAAGGCATACTTCCAGTGTTTTAGACGCACGTACACTCCGAGGGCCAAACATCGACTCCGACCACTATCTTGTTGCAGCCAAGATACACACCCGCCTCTGTGCAGCAAAAAATGTGCGCCCAACAATGCAAGGAAAGCTTAACGTCGAAAAGCTGCAATCAGA